GTTTTACTTAAGCTAAATTATTTTATAAATAAAAAAGTTTATTTTTTTAATACCTATTTTATGTTTCTCGTAATTTGAAAAGTTTAACATATTTGAAGAGATTCTTCTTAGTAAGATAAACAAATGAAATAATTAAATCATTGAATTACTATAGGAATTAAATTATCAAGATAGAAATCAACTAAAAAGATTAAAAATATATAATGACCAGGAAGCGAAACTGCTTCACAATATCGCTGATGATGTTTAGTGAGTGGGTTTTTTAATTTTAATTATTATTTAAAGCAGAAAAAAGTATAACAAGTTTTAAGAATGGCAACTTAAGCGAAAATAATTAAAGTTAGTAAACCAATATCTAGAAACTTTTCTTTATATCTAATTATTTGCTATATATATTTGTGTTCTGTCGTGGCCTCAGACGCGATGCTTGTTCATCCGCGAGTTACTTTGTATGCGTTGTTTGTGTTTAGTAACCAGAAACTTCTTATATTTTTGTTACATAATTAGTTTTATTAGCTTTAACGATTATAACTTCATTGAAAACGCAATTATTTTTGTAAGTCTTTGTTTAAATCATAAAAATTGCTTTAAAAGATACATTATGATTAGGGCATCCAATACCGGTATACCGAAAACCGGTATCCCGGTATACCGGACGCTTTTAGAATACCGATACCAAACTCTCAATACCGGTATATACCGGTATTTCTCATCGCTGAGACTTCGTGCGTGTTTTGACACAGAGAAATCTGTATCTGTATCAAATAGTTATGTTACTAAAATTCGAAACTCAATAATAAAAGAATTATCTAAACTTCAACAGCAAGGAAATCGGTTTAGTCTTACGTTTGACGAGTAGACTTCGGTAAAAAATAGACGTTATTTGAACATTACAGTTCATACTCGAAATAGATTTTGGAATTTGGATTTAGCGAGAGTTAATGGACATTTCCCAGCAGAAATATGTGTTACTACAGATGGTGCTTCCGTTATGAAGAAAGTAGGCGATTAATGTCCGTTGACCAGCAACTTTGTCTAATCCATGGAATCCAATTGGCTGTGGTTGACTTCTTGTATAAAACAACAACTGTAGAATTGACCGATGATTATATTGAATCTGATGAAGATAGTGCGGGTGAGATTTCCGATGACAATAATGAAGAGCATTTAGACGGACTAAGGATTTTTCAGAACTCGCCAATTTCAAATGAACTTGAAAATAATTTGGCTCCATTGATAAGCAAAGTTAGAAAAGTTGTAAAGCTGTTCAGGCGATCGCCAACCAAAAATGAAATCCTTCAAGTTTATGTAAAAACTGAACATGGTAATGAACTGTCATTAATATTAGATAATAAGACCAGATAGAACAGCTTACTTTTTATGCCAGAGTGTTTTTATAAACTAAAAAATTCTATTCAAAAAGCCCTGATTGACTTAAACTCAGCTAATAATTTTATGGAATCTGAATTAGAATTGATATTATTAACAGTTTCTATGTTGTTACCAGTGAAATTGGCTGTAGAGGCTTTATGTCGGAGAGATGCTAACCTACTATCAGCTGATACTACCCTGGCATTCATACTGCAAAATTTGGGCGTAGGACCATTAAGTTAAAATATGAAAACCTCCTTGATTATAAGAATAAAAGAAAGACGCACTAATTTATTTTATATCATACAATATCTTCATAAAGGTGATCAAGCCCATAATAATTTTAGTTCAGATATCATATTTGATCGGCTAACTAAAACTGCTTTGGTTAATTTAATTGTGCATCTTATCCAGCGGCTCTCATCCGAGCAAACTGAAACTGCAGCATTCCCATCAGAAAAAGATGAAGACGAAGATTCTATAATGTGTGAAGACGAACCTTTGAGCTTGACATTACAGGAGCAGCTAGACATGGCCATAAATAATGAGATAAAAATGAAAACAGTACCAAAAACAAAGCAAAGTATAAAGCAAAAATACAATCATCTTTAAATGACTAAACCTTAAATAATTTATGTTTTTTGCGGGCCTATTTTAGTAATAAATAACTATTTTATGTTTTTTGCTTGAAATTAATTAATTATATCTATTATTTTAACTTAAACAATAAAGTTTTGAAACCGTTTAACTGTTGCTTTGGGTTTTATTAAATGTTTTTTTAGTAATAGTAAATACCGGTTTTAATACCGGTATTTCGATTTTCACTTAATCTAATACCGAAAAACCGGTATTCAATTTTTGGTCCGGTATTGGATGCCCTAATTACGATAAAAATTAAATACACAAAATTACATTTACATAAAGAATACAATCTCTTTTAAAATAAAAAATAAGAATATACTAATAAAATCTATGATTTATAATAAACTTTTAAAATTTTAACAATTTAATTAATATATATTTAAAACATTTATTTTCGTAAACAAATAATATATATTCTTAAAACAATGCTAGAAATCTCAAAACGTAACAAATCGTGAATAATACAACTTCTAAAATATTTTAACAGAATACTCTAGAACTTTATTTCCCTTAATCATAGTATTTTTTGAACCAATAAAATTAGTTTGTTCGTTAATTTGGCGGGTTTTTAGCGTTCGCAAATATTCTTTTTATTCTTTCGCACAAAGATGTTTTGGGAACATTCAAGTTTTTTATGTTTCCATGTATGTCCGTAAAACAAAAATTTTTTGTTTTGTACAAAACTTAAATGTTCTCAAAAACCTGGCCAGTTTTATGCAACTAAATATAATTTCCGTGGTCAGTATTCGAGAGCGATCGCTCCCGCTTCTTGACCAAGCCTGTGTATAGATATAAGCACAAGGAAGAGCAGGTTGTTGTTCTAATAGAGTAGTTGACCAAACAAAAGTTCATCCATCAAAACAAATCAGAAAAAATCCAAAATAAAAGTACAAGATACAGATATTGATAATTATTCTGAAACTATGGTAATTGAGACTAGTGGGGATGAATGTTTTGACACACCAATGCCTGATTTTAACTTCAGAAAGAAGAGGTATTGCACAATTTCATCAGTTTCAAAGTTATTAACAGCAGCAAAATTATCATCAAGAAAAATTGCTGCAGTGTGCAATTTCTTTGTTAAAGATATTGGATTAGTTAAAGACATACCTAATCAGTCATCAATATATAAAGCAACTATTAGAGAAGCAAAAACTTAAAAATATCATATCAAAAAATATTTTTAAAACAAAAATTGGTGTCTCCATTTTGGCGGGTAATATTTTAACTATAATGAAAACCAAATAGTGGTTCTGAAGATGTTACAAAGGAAGTAAAAATAGCTGTTCTTGTCTTAAAAGGCAGTAAAGCAAAAACGATTTTTAATGGATTGATTGAAATTGTTGACTCTTGATTTATGAAATTGTATAAAAATGATTATAACAGATACAACTTCTGTTAATATTGCTTTGATAAGAAAGAACACAGAATCAGCAAATACCCATTTTTCACATTAACTGTTTTCTTACAAAATATGGCTATATTTTGTGAAAACAAATCAGCAAATACCCATTTTTCACATTAACTGTTTTCTTACAAAATATGGCTATATTTTGTGAAAATTAAAACATCTAAAACAGATACTCAGAGATCACATACGGTGTTCTTACTTACACACCAGGTCAAGAAAATAATATTGAATATTACCCGGAAAAAAAACCCTGGTAGTTTACTGGTAAAAAAAAAAAAGGTACAGTAACTATACTACAAAATTTTAGGGTGGAGAGTTGATTTGAAATCGTTTTAGGGTTGAGAGTTGATTTGAAATCGTTTTACAATATATGCAAAGCATATCTTATAATGCAAATGTATATTTTCCTAAAATTTATTTTCCTAATACATTACAGAATTCAAAAGCAATTTATGCATTTTTATATTATTTTCTTGTTAACTCGTCTATTAAACAACTAGAAGTAGTAAGCAATTTTGTTAGTGGTAACTGGCACAAAATATGATTTGGAAAACAAATTTTATTAAAAATGATATAAGATCGCTATCTTGAAAAAGATATCAAGAAAGTTGGTAATTGTCAGAAAGCTCTTACTTGTCTAATAACACATTGGACTAATGAACCATCAATTATTGCAAATTAACAAGCAGTAATATATGTGCTGAAAGAACAGTAAAAGTTGTTTAATACTTGTCTCAATGTATAAACTCTGAGAAATTTAATTAAAAATTTATTTTGTCTAATATTGAGGATGTAACAAATTGCAAATACAAATGTTATACTATTTTAATGATTAATAATATATATATATATATATATTTTTATTGTTAGTGGGGGATATTTTTGAAAAATTAATGTAATATGATTTTATGTTATTATAATTGTTCATTAGAAAATAATATAGAACATTTGTCAAACATAAAAACCCACACATAAGTGCGTTGACTTTTGACAAAAGTCAACACACTAATTTGTGTGTATTTTTTGAAATTTTTTTTTATATAAAACATTTAGAAACAATAAGATTTATTGGAGTTTCTTTTCAATTTATATCATTTAAAACCATATTGAAGTATATAATTATTTTTTTAGATAATAAAAGTCTTATCTAGATTGTACATGCCCAAACCCTTAGAAAATATATGCGCTGAACCCAACGCAAGTGACTATTTCAATATAGAGATTCACAATATGTAGGTGTTATTTTAAAACATCACGCTTTCATTATGGCTTCTCTTAGGTCTGCCTGTTATTTTGGGTTCTGTTTAAAAACTTCTGCTTATAGTTTTAATCAACAGTTTTTGATAGGTTTTAATTGTGTGTATTACTGTTGAGAAAAAACAGTTGGATTTTCTTGAGGGGGTTTTTATTGAATATTTTGGTCTGATAGTGAATTGATCTTTTGTGCATTAAAATATCACAAATTCTCAAATTCAAATTTATATAATTATTGCATTTTTTTTTTTTTTTTTTCAATTTTTCTATTTATATATTTAGTTGTTATTATTGTTAATATTGCATTTTTATATTTTTATAGCAAACGCCAACATTCCTCCTCCACCATATCCTGGTGTTCAACAACCTCCGTATCCAGTAGCTCAACAGCCTTATCCTGGTGCTCAACAACCTTCTAATCCTGGTGCTCAACAAACGCATTCTTTCATACCGCAGTAGCAGATTTTATATACTTTACTCGTTTTATATTTTGATAAATTAACATTGTTATTTTGGCATTTATTGTTTGTCTAGATCCTTATTTGGCATATATTGTTTGTTTAGTTTTTTTTTTATTTATTATTTTTGTCTATTTGTTTTGTTTTAATGGTTTGTTTTAAGCAACTTAGTTTTGGTAAATTTATCTTTTTCATAATGTTTTGGTTTTTCAAATTTTTTTTATTTTATTTTTAAGAATGCACTTATAAAAATTTTGTATTAACATTTTTAATTGAATAAAACTATTTCATTGACTTACCATATACCAGTCTCATAGTTCACCTGTTACTACGTTAATATAATTGTTACTGCGTTAATATAGTTGAATATGATATAATTATATGATGGTAACCTTAATTTTTCTAATGTTATTATTATGTTATTTTTATTTTCTATTAATAATATTTTATGCCAATTGCACAATTAAAATGAGGGAGAAAAATTAGTTGATATATTTTAATCAGTCGATTAATCAATATTAATTTTAATATAAATTTATAGTTTTCATTACATAAATAATATTTAAATCCTTTGGATTTTCACTCTCTTAACTTGGATATAAATTTATAGTTTTCATTACATAAATAATATTTAAATCCTTTGGATTTTCACTCTCTTACTTAATGGCTATTTTATCGTTATTTCAATAAACATTAGTTTATCTTTTTTTTTTCCTCTAATATCAAAAGTTTGTCAGCAAGTTTGGAGATAAATGGTCTACATGTAAATATCATTTACATGTAGACCAAACCAGTTGTTATTGGTTTGTATGATATTGGGTTGGATTTGTATGTAATGTTATATAACAAAAAGACAAAATGGTTTTAATAATAATAAAAAAATATTTTTAGCAGTTTTATTGTTTGTTTTTTTTTAATATAAGTCAACCTAAGTTGTAAAACAAGCGTTTTACGACTTAGGTTTGTTTTCAAAATCTCTATTATTACTTAATAGAGATTTTGAAAACAACAATAACTTTACTAGAGAGTAAAAAAATTTCAAAAAACAAAATGTGTTGCACCCTACATCACTAAATTCGCTGAAATTTGGCACTAATTTTTAAAGATTTAAGGTAGGAAAGACTAAAATTTTTTTTTTAATTTTTCATCTCCTTAAGATTTACAGCAACTTGAAGTTTGTTAGCTTTTGACTTAAAAATAAAGGGGGAAAAGGGCAGCAAATGTGTCCCTCTACTATTTACAATTATTAACCTTATAAGGTTCCTGTAGTAATAATGCGAAGCTAAAATTTGGTACCAAAGGAGTTTAAAACTTGTTGAATTTGAAAATTATAGTCTTGCATCTCTCAAAACAATAGAATACAGTTTATTTTAAAATCTATAAAACGCACTAACTAATGACAATACAAAATGGCATTGACAATTTTAGCTCTAGAAAAATTCTAAAATTATTTGCTATTTTATTTTTAGAAAAATAAGTTAGCCAATGCATTTTGATAATGAACTAAATACAATTATATTTGTTTTTAAATTAGAATTAAAAAAAATCGTATGCGTGTGATGTGGTTTAAAATTTTACAAAGTTACTACAAAAAACTTGTTCAAAATTTTGTAAATTTTGGTAGTTGTTATTTTTATTACATAATGGTTATGTCATTTGCACTGTAATTAGTCATTAAGTTAAACAATATTGTTAACTTTTTTTATTGGGTGGACACGGAAAAATCCGGTCAACTTTAAATTAAGATTTCTCTAAAACCATAAATTTTTTTTTTTTTTTCAGTTTACAATTATTAATCGTAATATAACAATATATAAACTTGGTATCTGAAAGAAGATCCAAATGATCTTGTCGCCAGAACCATATAAAAGATATAATACGTGTATATATAATAAAATAAAATACAATTGATCAAATAAGTAATAACAATGTAGAAGAAACAAAAACTGAAAATAATTTTACAAATTATCCAGAGTAAAAAAAAAGAATTTTACATTTCAAAAATATTTATATATATTGCCAGTAGAAAGAATATAGTTTTTTAATTTAGTTTTAAAAACGGAAAACGAAATTGACAAATCAAAATTTGGAACAACAATTTTGTTCCTTAAATACGGTGCTCTATAGTTTATGCAAAATTGATTAAACTTTGTTTGACAAAAGGGTTCAATTAATAAATTATTATTTCGTAAAGCATATTTGTTTATAGCTTTATAAGTAAAAAGATCTTTGAAATTGGACAATGGTCGTTCACTTTTACAACGAAATATAAAACATAAAATATTATAGACATTGAGTTCGTAAAGGTTAAGTGCTTTAACGTTTTTAAATAAAATATTTGAATGAGAAAAACGATTTTCGAAACATATTAAACGCATTGCGTGTTTCTGACGATGGTAAAGACTTCCCCAAACAATATTTGCATAATTTATATGGCTATAAATAAACGAGTAGTAGAGTTGAATTAAATTTTGTTTACTTAGATAGTATCTGACCTTATATAGAATTCCAATACTTTTAGCCAATTTAGTAGAAATATAGTCGATATGATACTTCCATGTAATATTTTCATCAATGTAAATGCCTAAAAATCTTGTGACCGACTCCTTTTTTATTTATTTGGTAAAAAACGCTTTTTAGCAAGAGAGTGGAAAAGGATCTACTTTGTTTTGTCAATGTTTAAAGTTAACTTGTTGCACTTAAACCAGTTGGAGATCTGATTGAGTTCTTTATTCATATTTGAAAAAAGCTCATAAATGCTTCTGTTTGACAGAAATAAATTAGTATCGTCCGCAAATAAATGCTTTTTATATTATTTTTTTTTTATATATTAAATGTGTTTATATCAACTAGGGTGTCAACTTCAAATTTCAAGAGATTTGATGGGCTTTTTGGTAAGAGATTGAATTTTATAGCGGGTTGATGCCATCATTTCGCAGATTTTTTCTTTTTTCATTTTATTGGTGTCATCAATCCTTTTTTTTGAAAGACCTTTTTATTTTTTGTTACTCCACTTGTCTACCAAAAAACTCCTTCAACTATTGCCTAAAATAGTTAATCTTGCGCTCTTTAGGACTATTTGGAGGATTAGCATCTTTAGGGACAATTTTCACATTATTATCTTTGCACCTCTGTAGAATTTTTTTAGATTAGTGAGATGCAGCAAGATATGGTCAAAATAGACATCGGTATTGTTGACCAGGAAGTTGTGGAAAAATCCACCTTGCAATATATTTTGTTGTCTTTAATTATGCTCATATTTTTATTCACCATTATTTTAACCAACTTCTTTGCGCGTCGAATTTCTTTAACTTTACAATTTAAGCTTCTCTTATAGTCTAGTCAAATTAGGGTCAGACCTGGACAAAATTTGAATAAAGATAATTCAGCACCATTTGAAGCGTAATTTTATCTACTTTAACATATCAAAAATCCATTTTGAAAAAAAGTCAAGTAAATTTTAGTTCACTTCACTTTGTGGAAAATTTCTAAAAAAAAAAAAAAAAACTAGAGACCCTGTTGTTAACAAGCTGTAATAACTCATCATAAAAATGCTTAATCTTTATAAAATTTTGCACAAACAGAGCTTAATGTGTGCAAATTATAGAAAATAAATTTTTATAAATTATAGAAAATATAAATTTCAAAATGCTGATGTTTTTGTGCAATTCGGGCAAAATTTGACACCTTTATCCAAAAAATTAATAAATAAATATTCAACTATTAATTTTGTATAAATTTATAAATAAATTTATTAATTTATAAAATAATTTTTTATAAATTAACAAATAATTTATTAATTTATAAAATAATTTTTTATAAATTAATATAAATTAATAAATAAATATTCAACTATTAATGTAGTTTTATTTGAGCCTCAAATAAAACTAACTTGTTTATAAGTTATCTAAAACAAAAAACCAAACATTTTTTAAATACATTTTTTCAAATTATATTTCAATCCACTAAATGTACATTTAACTAATTTTGAATAATTTTTTATCTAAAATTAAATATTGGTACTTTTTACCTTTGACTAATATAATTATAAATAAAATCAAAAGTCAAATTTTTTTCAAAAATGTTTCCATCTCCATCTTCGCTACTTTCAGATTCATTTTCGCGTTTCGCATTGTGATCGATATTAATATCGTCATTTTTTGTTGCATTTGTGCACTCCAAACCTTGGTACGGTCCGCAGGCAGTCATGCATTTTATTCCATGACGTCGACATTGGCATTGTTTTCCACATAGTGTTTTTGTATCTGTGCTACAGTTACATCATATGATGTTTAGAATGTGAAATGGTGCTGGATCCTGAATAAAAAAAATACTTATTCTTAAAAAATAATGAAGAGTTTTTTGGTTGCTGAGTTACACTTAAGCTGTTTATTGAAAAATGAGTGTATTTAAAAAATTTTCTATTCTGTTTTGAAAGTAAAATTGACATTCGTTGTTTAATTTGCTGCATAGGTACCTTGTCTTTCTTTATAGGTACTAAGACATTTTTTTTCATTTTTCATCCCCATTTTGTTTCATCCAAATTGACACCCAACCATTGCTGAATTTGTAAATATACTTGAAAAGAATGGTACCTGATCGCGCTTTCGGTTGGTGGTAGTCGTTCTGGTTGAATTCCTTTTTTGAAAGTTGCCACCATTCTCATATATTTTTGTTTCCTTAGTTGTGTCAGCTGGACTTGTTTATTTTTTTCACCTTTAAAAACAGTTAAGTTAAATTAAACCTCAGCGAAGCAATATGGCATCATAATAATAGTTATAACAATAACATTAATGATAAAAATAAAGAACTATGATTAGTGTTTTGCATATTCAAAATAACTTTCATTCCAACACTAACTATTTAATCTTGTGTTGCATCTTGGAATCTTGAAGACTTTATAAATATTTTGAACGAACTATTTGGTTCAATAAAGTTCAGTACAGCAATTTTCCCTTGACAAAAAGTGCAGAGGTAGTATCACATCAACCCCAAGCATGAATAAACAACAAACAATTTTTCACGTGATACGATAGACTTGATGCAACATTCTTTATGCTGATTGTTTCCACATCTTTTTTGATACTCTTTTTAGTTTCGCGGCGCAATAAAAGATTGTACATGGTTGGATCCCACATGTGAACCAACATCACGAGAACGTCTGTATCATCAGCAATGATAGTCACACATTTTCCGTTTTGTGCAATTTCAATTCCTTTCATAACAATTGTTCTGTCAGCGTCCTCTTCACATTCCACTACAATATGACCTTTTTCTCTCAGCCTCATTCCTAATTCTTTAAT